AAAGGTGAAAGGTGAAAGGTGAAAGGTGAAAGGTGAAAGGTGAAAGGTGAAAGGTGAAAGGTGAAAGGTGAAAGGTGAAAGGTGAAAGGTGAAAGAGGAAAGAGGGGAGAGTCTCCTTGTACAGACTGGGCTTGGTGAAAGTCTGGACTTGTCTTGAGGCACGGTCCAGGGAATGCATGTGTCTCGGCCGAGTCGTACCTCTCTCCCGCATAATTCTCTGTTCCCCTCCTCCCCCTGGCCATCCCTTTGATGAATGTATTCTCTGGGTTACCGTTCTTCTCCAATGTCTTGCTGTGACCACGTTTTTCTCCCTTGAAGAGACGGGGCCCTGCCTCTGCGTAGATTGGTTTGTGTCCGTGTCCACCACGTTGTACAGAAACATGGCACGTTTGCTAACATCTTATTTGCTCAAGGAATTATGCATTTCGTCCTGTTTCATGGGTGCGCCTGTCCATCCGTCCCTTATTTGAACTCTGATTTCACCGATGGGTCAATATCCATACCACTCTCAGAGTGCTATTGTCGGAGGCATGAAACTGGGGAATGATGAACCGAGCTAGGCAGTGAACGATTCAGCCATTTCTAGGGAATTCTTTCCCTCGTAAGTCTCCCGGGCCGGAGTGACCCCTGATACATACCATGGACCGTGACATTCCAACTGACGGACCACTGCGGAAGTTGGGGACGACCTAAGCCACCCGAGAGGCCCGTACGGATAGTGGCCCTTAGTTTAGTGCGAGTGCCGGAGCTGCGAGATATCCAAAGTCGTGCAGATCGAGGTGCACGAGTCGTTGCATGCCGTTTGCGGAATGCAACCCCATCCACTGATGATTCAGGCTTGGGAAGATTGTTACGCAAACGTTGCTGTGGGTCGTTGATTTGTACACACAGATCGGATGCTGCAAGGGAGGAAAGAGCTTCAGCAGAGGTATATCCGGGTGTAATGTTTGTCATTGGTGATCCATTTGTTATGTCTCTCGGTATGTTGTGTACGGCTTATGGGTGTTTTCTGTTATTATTCAAGAAGACTCTTCTCCCCCACCGTCTGTTGGAGTTTTTCTTTTCTTTTCTGTTCACCTTCAACTATCTCGAGGCCTTTTGCTACGACATACTCGTTGTATCACACTTGACTGCTATTTTATACCGCTAACTCTACACAACGAACCGTCCGCCCGCTTCTTCATCACTACACTATCCCTTCACCCCTCAACATGATTTGGAACTTGAACTACTCCCTATCTACCGGTCGCAGCCGCTGGGCTCTCACCGCCCTGTCCAACCGGCTCGTGTGTTGCCGTAAAGACGAAGGCGGCAACGTTGAAACCCCTGAAAAGGAACATCAGCCCTATGTCCCTACCTACGCCAGGACTGGCTTTCTTACCAATGCTACCCCGCGACACATGCGAGTTGCCAACGAGATCCTCTGAGTATGTCGGTCAGGGAGACACCTATACCTACCTGTGCAAACAAGAGACCTTGGCCATGACAACCGTCTCGGAAATGATCACACTTGTCGACTAGGCACCACGCCGGTTTGCCAGTCAGCTCATCTACCCTCGACATTCAGTCACTGAGGGAAACCACATGCAATGAGCGGAAATGGGAGAGGAGAGCTCGCCTCGGCTCACTGTTCTCACTGTTGGCATGCTACAGCAACAGAGTGTCTTGCCGAACACCGGACACGCCCTCCGCAGTGCCATGTCGTGTCTGGGAGATATCACCACCAACTTTACGCGACTCATGAGTACCTCACCGAACAAAACTCCGACGCCCTTTTACGGTTCATGCCGCAGCAGGTCTCAGCTGCCAGATACGGGGGCCGGGGGCCGGTTTGGGCGACTTTTTAACGTTCAAACCCCAGATAGCTTTCAACGAAAGTTCGAGTGACCACACGCCAAAGCCAAGGCGGCCTCATAAGGCACAGCCGGAAGGTATTGGGGCATTCTCATTCTCATCTCAACCACACCCTTCTGTCTCCCGTTTGTTCGCCACCTTCTTTGTCACAGCGACAAGTGCGATGGGTAAAGGGGAAGCGAGCGGGTGGATGGCTGTATGTATCCAGCTTTGTTCCTGGAGCATTCCCTACTACGAAAACGGGCTTGTACGAGGTATTCAACAGAAAACATGATAAAAAGAATTGCCAAGTCATACCCCCACGATATACGATAGGCAAAAAAAAAATCGTCTGATTTGTCAGCATGATAGATTTGAGCAGTTTCTCGAGCAGTTTCCCGTGACACTCGTTCGACGTTGGGACGGTGATGACTTGGGACCGGTCCAGCCGACGCGGAGAAAGTCGTCAGGTGAAAAAGAATAAAAGCTGGTCAGTGCACATCGTCGTTAAAGTGGATCAGCGGACTGGACAGATCTCGGGGGTGCTCCGTCGCCCCATGGCGGAGCCGGGAGGCCAAGACATCACGTTGGTTCGGGAATAGTTTCCAATCGAGAACTGTCTTTTCTTTTTTTTTTTCTTTTTTTTTCTTTTTTTCTTTCTCACAAAATCGGGACGTACCCTTCGCCCATCCTCGTTCGGCGCCTGGGCTCTTGAGGCATTCGCCCCTCGAGACGGCGTGTCCGTCTTTGTTGCCACCGGTCATGATCGTGTCTTCGGAGCTAGACATGGAATTCCATCAGAGCTGTTAGGGTCCGACTTACACCAGAGGGCAGGGACGGGATGGCTAAAGAGGGACGATGACGATGCTCTTTGGTATGCAGCGAGTCAATTAGGTAGTCAATCCGTGAGCGAGCAAAACGGGATATCCAGGGAATTTAAAGAGAAACATACAGCCAGATGAGCCCCTATTTCTCGAGTCGGTCCCACAGTCAATGGTCAGGATCGTCTGGTTTACGGGGCCAGTGTAAACCAGTGTTATGCACTGTCCTTTAATGAACACACCTGAAGGATTGAGGGGGAGGGTCAGAGGGATTGATTACGTATGATTGTACCGACAGGATTTATCCCACCTCACTGCGACACAGTGCATTCAATCGGCCTTCCTTTCTCTCGCACTCTCCCACGATCGCATCAATACCAACAGACTCCACGATGAAGACTGACAACCTACTTGGGGGAATTAAAAGTAAAATAAAAATCTTCCTCGCGAAGGGAGGATCCTGTGCGGCAAGACTACCGTCTGCCTGTAGGTCGCCGCCGCTTTTCGTGCAGCATGTCAGTTGGCAGAGCTGTGTTCTATTCTTGTTTGCAGAATAAATGCGATACAGAAGCTAAAGCTACGATGGTTGATGGATCTCCCCAACCCGGAAATACAGTACTACTGAATCTTGTCCTGGTCGATTTCTATTTTCTTATAAGGGTCATCTACTAGTTTTCCGGTTTTTCTTGCCAGTTTGCTTTCGTTTTTATCGTCTCTCCTGCAAAGCATATGCACCTGCTGGTTGCCGTTCTTGTTTTGTTAGATGCCGTCGCTGCCCATTGTTGGCCCCTATTTTTGAGACTTTGACTTGCTTTAGATGGTGCGCATATTTTGGAGATGCCGTGGAGAGGAGCAAAGATGAGCAAAAAGGGGGCCATGGTGTATTTCTATTTCCATTCGCACAAAGATCTCAATTACAACGGGGAAGACAAAGGTTCAATCATACACGATACTTCGAGTAAAAGATGGAGGGATTGAAAGTGAAAGGGTTGGCTGAATGGCCCGAGGATCATCTGCAATACCACCGAACCGACCATTCCTTCCATCTTCCTTCCCTACTGGTCTAATCAGGATTTCTTTCTCGGCGGTCACACACCAACTGCCAATGTCTCTTCCGACACCACAAGGAAGAAAGAGGAAGAAGTGCATGAAAGGTGGATGGTCCTTGGGCGGGCACTCCAGTAATAGCAACAGGTACGTCATCGTGTAGCCAATGACGGACGACGCCGCGGCTACACGGGGCACAGACCAGGGCACAGACCAGCAACCCCAGCCTCGATGGTTGTGTACATCTCCATATTTGGACCCTTCAAGGGTTCTCCCACCTCCCACCTCCCTCTTCTCCCCTCTACGGAGTAAGACAACCTTCCCCAGTATCCGTATCCGTACAGAGGAGAGTCCAGTTTACGGAGTCAACGCACCTGGTGACCCATTTCGATCTTCAGTACCAACTTCACTATGTGGCGTCTTCACCGGGGGGGCTTCGAAGTTCGGCCCCCTCCCGCCATCACCGCCGTTCCCGCTTCTCATCGCTCACCCCGGCGTCCCCCGATGATCCGAACGACTGCCTAGCTCAGCTCAGCACCAAGATCCCTTCCACACTTTCACACACAGGCTGATGGTTATCCTTCAGATGTCCATCCCACAATATTCGAAATTCCAAATCTCACCCCTCCTCTTCATCGCCCACCCCACCCCACTCTACTTAGCAATTCATCCCCCCGAGTCTCTTCTGGCTGACCCGATTCAGCATCCAACCGGCAATGCCTACCACGCTCCCTGTAGCCCCATGCCCCCCCCCCCCCCAAAAAACCCCAAATCTAGGCATGGGTAGCTTGAATATACGCCACGTCTCTCGGGCTGCCGATAGTCTCGGGTCTTACTTGTTCTACCTGCGGAACAGAAGCACGTACCTACAGCGGGGGATGACATGGGCAGGCTGATCAATTGGTCTATCCCCGGTCGGCGTTCCCTCTCCTTGGGCCTGCTGGCTGCCTTTTGCTTTCGGTTTGCCCTACGCTCTTCCCGTGAAGCCTGTGGCATGAATGACATGGGGCAGCTGGTTCGTCTTTGTACTTGACATGCGTGGACCCCATCTTCTACCCTTCCATCATCACACCACTACACATACTTACACGAACCTCGCCATCCCTACTTTCAATGCAACCTTCCTCCTTTCGACATCTTTCAACCTGTCCTGTTTCTTCGCTACACTAATATTCCCTACGCCCTCGCCTTGCATGATAGATCCTCCCGTGGCGGATATCTGGGGCGACTCCATATTCTCTCACCTCTCTTTACCTCTCAACCCTCTCGCCACAAACATCATGTTGTCTCGTTCCCACTTGAGTATTAGGAGGCTCATTCGGTCGGACGCGCCACTCGATTCCGAGGACTTATCTGAACCTGATCAAGCCGCTCAAATAAAACTCCAGCACCAAATCCAACGCGCCCTCTCGAGTCGTCCACTCAAGTCAAAGAAGAAGGGAATCCAGGACCAGTACCAGGACCAGGACCAGGACCAGTACCAGGACCAGGACCAGTACCAGCCTATTCTTGTCCAGTGGTCTCAAAGCACACACCAGCTTTCAGCGTCGTACCCTGTCCCCGAGACCTCGCCTCGGTCTTCCAAGGGTTCATTTTCTTTGTCCCGATCCAACCTCGAACGCCATCTTTCTATCTCTTCCAAGAATGCAGCCAACGCATCAGGGCCTTCTTTGTCAGTAGCGAACGCGGATGACCCGTCGGGCCCTACAACCACCCCCGCCTTCCTCCCTGAAATTCGGCGTCTTTCCAGTGGCATTACCATTGCTCTCCCGCCGTTACAAGACACGACCACCACAAGGTGTGCTGCAACAACACTGAGCCCGATCCTCGACGCACCAGAACCCGAAATTCCTCAGGAACCCCAGCACGACCTTGATAGGATGACTGAAATGGAGACATCCGGAGCCCGTCGTGACTCTCTTCTGGACTGGGCTGCGTCGTTGCAGAAGCTAATACAAGAGACGGAGGACGCCTTCCAGCCAGTCGAGGATGACGAAGTGCCCTTTCGAACTGAGCCTCAACCGCGAGCAGAGTCTCAATCGCCCTCAGAATCAGACTTAGCCTCACCTTCACCCTCACCACCTAACGACATGAGCAACAAGGATAAGGATGCCAAACCGCCGCCTTCCCCGTCGGCTGTCCAGACGACTCCCCAGATGGGCGCTGCGCAGCTCAACGTTTTCTCCAGAAAACCCGTGGCCGTGGCCGTGACAAAGCACGTAACGTCACCACTCAGTCCTCCCGCCAGTATGAGCACGCCGACACGGAGGTCGTCCGTATCAAAGGCGACGCCCACTCGGTCCGCCTCTACCAAAACTACCAAGACTTACAAGAAGCACAAGCCGAGTCCGTCGAAGAGGATACCGCGGTGGCTACTCAGCGAGAACGTCACCGGCATCCTCACGGGGCAGTTCTTCAAGAAGGTCGAAGCGGATGAGAAGTTCACGCCTGAGCAACTTCAAGCCGTTCGTGAGAGCGCCGACTTCCAGCGATGGAAGAACGAGTCTAGCGATGTCCGGAACCCCGAACGGTTCTCCATTGGGAAACCAGTGGGGCCGGCCCTCGCCGTTGAGCCGCCGGCTCCTGTGAGGAGGTCATCGGCGGCTGACGACCAGCCCGCCATGTCGGGCGACGTGTTGCCGGCTTTGACAGAACCGGAACTGAAGCAAGAAGAACAACAGCAACCACAACCACAGCAGCAGCAGCAGCAGCAGCAGCAACAGCCGCGGCAACAGGAACAGGAACAGGGCCACGAACAGGGCCACGAACATGCTACGACTTCGCCTGCCCCTGCGAATGTGCCTGTGACAGAGATTCAAGACGAAGATGGCTCTAACATCAAAAACGACGAAGAAGACGACGGCGACGACGACCTGATGTGGTTGATGGTTCCGACCGGCCTCAGGGCACCGCCTCCACCTCCGCCGCCTCCGCCGCCTAAAAACCCGCGACGGCAGGCCGGTCGCCCGTTGCCGTTGAATGTGGTGCAGTCACCACTACCCACCATCCCCGAACTGACAGTCACGGCTCCCGCCGAGGAGGGCAAAGAGACGAAGGAGGCGACGGCGATAGACGCAGTAGACTCCCCCGGAGAGGTCGCTACCGAGCAACCGAAGACGCCCACATCGCCTTTCGTGCCAACCGAAGACGACGAATTCGTCTATTACCATTCCACCCCGTACAGCTTCAGCATGCCGACGCTCCGGCACGGCCCGATCCGGCTGCCCAAGCCTGATGACATGGTTCCCGGCATGCAGCTGGCGCCGGACAACACGCTCGACTGGACGGCGTTCCAGATGGCCATCCTGGGCGGGGCGGGCGACTTCTTTTCGGACCCTTCGGAGTTTACGGGGCACGCCAACGAGGCCGAAGTGCAGGAGCTCGAGTCCTGGTTTGAGGGCTTTGGTTTTGGCGGGCTTGGGGAGCTCTTAACGGAGGAAGAGGACGACGACTATAACGACGACGACGAAGACGAGGACGAAGAGGAGGAGGAGGAGGAGGAGGAACGGGGACAAGGGGAGACGACGCAGAAGGAGGAAACGATGGAAAGCTCCTCGAGCTCATCCAGCACCAAGAGCCGGTCGTCGCTGGAGTACTCGCCGTCGTGCTCGACGGCGTCGGACCCGGACATGGACCTCCCGATCCCGCTGGCAGAGGAGTACCCGTCGGGCTTCTGGAACGGCAGCGGGGACGACGCGGCCCGGTTCCGCCAGGGACAGGGAAGCATCAAGCGCTGGACCATGGAGGGCCACCCGCGGAAACCCAGCCTGCCGCTGTCGGAGGCCGGTCACAGCCTGCGACACAACAGCATCGGCAGCCTGCCACAGAGCCCGATGATGGACCTCGTGTTCATGAACCTGGAGGACGAGGACGACGAGGTGGTGCCCATGGGGTACAACCTGCATCACGACCTGGGGGATTTCCTCAAGTGGGAGGCCGAGAACGCTTATGCGTGCTCGCCGTGGGGAGTGCATTGAGGAGCTCCCCCGGCCGTCTTTAGTACCAACTTGCTAAAATGCACCCACTACCGACTAATCGACTACGGTGTTACGTTGTACCCAGTCAGTCTACGTACCAACGAGCCACGAGGATATGGGCATATTATATTTGTACATGCATGACAAAACCGCAGAACATAGAAAGGACACGGCGCATTTATGGGGGATTAACATCAGGTATCATTCTGTCGTTTCATTTTTATTTATGGGGGTCTGGTAACAAGACCAGCCTCAAGGGAGACAGACACAGCTACAGTTTGGGGGACGCTTTCGGGGGGGGGGGCAAACTAACTAATTGGCATATTGGTCAATTAGTTTATTCTTTTGTGATTCCCAATGCATCTGGAGCGGCATATTAGCGGATTGAACTATTATAGGAGTTAGCGACTAGTGTAGCCAGTGAGTTGGCGAAGAAAAAAACAAGATATTTCCTCCCAAAAATTCCGTGTTTCCAAAGGAGAAGCGCGAGTTGGTTTTGCCAAGTTCTACGCCCTCTCCGAGCGTTGAATCGGACCAGGCCATGGGCTACGGACCGGTTCCGAGCAGGGACGGGACGCGATGGCTGTGGGGCCCCTAAACGGGTAATGCACGGGCCATAACCCGAATAGAGGCTGTGGACTTGATGAGTAAGCTCGGTGCGCCACAGTGGCGTCGGACGTCACTTTTTCAGTTTCGCGTTCCGAGTCGCGAAGCGACGAACAACAACCTCAACAACAACCGCAACACACAACCAACAACCTCTCGTCGCGATTCGTGGCTTTGTCGAAGACCCGATCTGCGACCTGAAATAGCCTCGTCTCTGGACTTGCCTTCCCGCACCACCAAACCACGTACAATTACGACAGTTGCCCTCCTTCGGCCCCCATTCCCGCCGCATCTTCCGCCCCCATTGGCGGCGCGTGTTCCTTCAACCGGGGAACCTGCTTCCAAGTCAAGAGCGAGGTTGAGGAGAGGGTCAATCGAGCAGCAACACGGGTTCCAACACGGCGTTTGCAACACCCCGCGGCTCTGCGCTGCGCCCCTCTTCTGACTCGTACCTCGTTTGTTGGGTCGTCGCGTATACAGGACTGCAACTCCCGACCCCAAATCGCTTCGCCTCGATCAGTTCCTAGCCCAACAGCAGGGCCGTTTCTCATATTCTCCATACCCACCTCCCATTTTAAGAAAGGAAACAACAAAGGAAAAAAAAAAAGGGGGGGAAAGAAGGAAAAAAGCAACCGCAATCATGCTGCGACGACCCCCAACAACCCTAACCATCACCTCGGAAGACGTAGCCGCCTACGAAGACAGACGAACGCGACAAGCCCGCCAAGAAGAAGACGAAGCCGCCCAGCGGGAACGCATGGCGCAGCGCACAAGACGGCATCAGGAGCAGCAGCAGCAACGGCAGCAGCAACAACAACAACAGCAACAACAACAATTACAACAACAACAATTACACATCGACGACCGCCAACCACGGCAACCCCACCGCCAGCGTCCCCCGCACCAACCCACAAACCCCCTGCACCAGCAACAACCCCAACACCTTTCCCCGGCAGAAGTGCAGGCGCGCTCGAGCCTCATGCAGAGACTCCAGGCGGCGAGGGGCATGGCGGGTCGACTACCCCCGCAAGGCACGCAGCAGCCGCAGCCGCAGCCGCAGCAGCAGGACGAATACACGGAGCAGGACACGGAGATGTTGCTCGGCACGAGCAGTGACGAGGAGGAGGCGCAGGATTCGATGTTGGGCGGTGTTGGGGCGGATGCGAGTGCGTGGAGGAGGACACGGCTCGCGCGGGCTGCCGCTGCTGGTGCTGGTGCTGCTGGTGCTGGTGCTTCTGCTGGTGGCGGCGGTGGTGGTGGTCTCACCGGGCTAAATGGCGATGGCGGCAATGGTTCTGGTAGCGGCAGGGCTGGACGGGGACAGAACCAGGGCTTGCAGCTTACGCCGACGCCGATGGGGGACGTGGCCGGCGGTGCTGAGCGTGGTGTTAGGACGAGGGAGGAGAGGATCGGGCTTGGTAGGAGGGGGGCGAGAGGCACGTAAATCAGCCTTCTCCTGTACGGAGGTTTTCCAGTTGGTACAAGCCATTGGGGAATGATGGACTCGGTACTATACTTAATGTAGTGTTTATGATGAGCATGAGGGTTTAATTCCTACCAATATTGTTATCAGGGCTCTTGCATTGTTCGGCAGTAAAGTCGGGCGGTCCGAGCTTCCTCGGACTGTCAGACCCACACCGGACCGCCGACCGGACCGGTGCTGGCTTAACGCCGACTTCACTCCGACTTCATTCCAGATTCGGCATTCCGAGATGGCTCAATAAGGGCGCATCAAGAAGCCAGTTAATATCCCAAACTTGGGTAGCCTAGGAGATGAAGTGGGCTTTGTAGTCCTCTTCTTCGTGCACGAAGGCTACCTTCCCTTTATATAAGATAATGACCTTCTGTTGATCTTAGAGAGCATAAACTTCATTAATAAAGGCAAGATGGCAAGTGATGGTCATCGGTAAAATATCCATTATCTGTCACATGATCTGCACAAGGCGGAACATATTCTGAAAGACAGACCGCTCATCGCCGTGACGACGAATCATGCCGAACTGCCTCGTAGACTATAGTCCAGGATAAAGCAGGCACATCATAGTACTGCCTCCGAGACGAATCTGAATATAATATCTTATATAGATTAGTTAGCACTTGAGCTGAAAGAAGGCTTCACATTACTTCTTGACTCCAGACATGAGATGAAGGGCCTGGTTACTATGCCACACTCTCCTCTGGCTTGTCTCCGCTTGAAGCTACGGACACGTCGTGAACTGTCGAGTCTATCCGGGGAGAATTTACACCTCTAGTCCAGGTAAAAGCGCCTGCTCCTTCCTCGCTGTAGTATCCCGGAAACAAGTTCTTTCTCACGGGATGCAAAATATAACTGCTGGCTCTGTGTCGTCTTTACCAGACCTCTCTTTTGCATCAGTACTTGGCAACCGCTTTACTCTCCTTCCTGTCTCTCCTTCACAGTTCTTAATTCTGTTAAGAACAGAGTAGGGATTTCTTTCCTTCTCTTGTCAGAGATCAATCGCTTATATCCCACAATCCACCGGTAAGTAGGTGCTCAGCAACCTCAACATGTCCCTGCCTTCCTCCTTGCAGGCAAATCCCACATCATGACCACCATTGCAAGCATCATCCCATCCCATTCTGTTCCGAGACTGACTTCCCCGTCCCATCGAAGTAGGTCGGATGCTGTTGACAGAGATACATAATACACATCTGTCACCGTGCAAAGGAACGGGATAGAAGCAGAGTCACCCAAAATGTGCATGCAAATCTACCGCTACTACCAAGAGTGCGGGTGCCAGCTCAAGCACGTCTTCTGGCCCTGCGAAGACGGCCCCGCCTCCCGCGGATGCCACCACGTACAACCCGGTGTCGTCGTCAAGCCGGACGCCTTCTGCCCTTACCACGAGCGCGTGGAAGCCAACCGGCCCGAGAACCGGCCCGACACGCTCTCGCGCCGGACGAACCCGCGCAGGCGCCTGTTCCAGGTCAACTGGAACACCTACATGAAGACCTTCCACATCCCGCCGCACCCGCGCGACAAGTTCGAGTCCTCCCCCGACAGCCCGTGGCTTGACTCTGACGGATCCAGGAATGACGGCGACGATGACGACAACTCCGCCGGAGAAGGGGAAGGATCCGAGGCCTCGGAATCGGCCGACTGGTGCTATAACTGGGAAGACCGCATCCCCTGGACATACGCCGAGGGCGGCGGCCCCAAGTGGGGGCTCGAGTACGACACGGGCTACGAGAGCGGCGTCGAGGAGACCGACAAGCAGCGCCGCTTGCGGCTTCAGTTGAAGAAGAGGATCATCAAGAAGCGCATCATGCTCAGTCGCGGCAAGAAGACGGCCAAGTAGGCCCCGAATAGACAGAAGGCGACGAGAAACCTGTCCACGGGCTTACTGAGAAGATGAAGATATGGGTGGGCTAAAAACAGCTGCGTCACGTCTCATTGCTGCTGCTGCTGCTGCTGCTGCTACCGTAGTGGGACAACGCCATATGGGAACTCGTGTCGGCCCTAGGGAACCGGTCGTGCTTGCGATCATCTGAGGAGGACCGAGCTAGTAGCATTGTTGTTGGACCTCTCAACTTCCATTTATGGGAGGCCAATCTGGGGTGATTCTATGGACCGGATGGACGGCGCTGGCGTTATAAAAGATTCACTCACAGCTTTGGCTCTGGGACTTGGTACCGGCGACCTCTCGTGTGTTGCCGTAAGGAGCTGGGAGTTCAACTTGGGGTTCGACGCCTGCTTTCTGTTGACAACCCCGTGGTATAAGTAGATTCTTGCTCAAGCTTACGGGGAACATTGTGGGGAGGCATAGCAGGATTTTGTCATTCGCGACAAAATGCTGGTATAAAGAAATACCCGGGAACCGTACGGCAGCAATATAGGGCCTGTCGTTATCTCACGCAGCCATGTATCGTCGCTCGTGGAATGGACCGGGAATGTCTGTTGTCCATTTCATTCGATCTCGTGTGGATTGTCATAACTTCGTGTCATGTCCGCATATGGAACGCCCCCCTCTATCCAGGGGCTATGATGTTCTGCTCGGAACCTGGGGCATCTTCAGCTCCAAATCGGCTCGACGGGATACCGTCTTCCCCCGACACCCGTCACAGGACTGGTGGACCTTTCTTTCCAACTCTTCCTATCGCCTCGAAAATCTCGTTCTTCGGAATCCCACACGGAATCCCTGGCCCGGTCGACATCTGCATGGCTGCTCGTCCGACGACGTGATGATTGCGGCCTCGCCAGGTACCGCACCTCGCGACGTTTACGCATATCTCGCTCCTCTTCCAGCCGATCTCTTTCGCGCTCTCTTTCGCGCTCTTTCTCGCGTTCTCTCTCCCGCACCCGTTCCCTCTCCCTCCCCCGGTCCCGTTCCCGTTCGCGTTCAGCCCTGGCCCTTTCTCTCTCCTCTCTCCTGCGCCTCTCCTGCATCTCCATCTCCTTGCGGACTCGCCGCTCCAGACTGGTGGTGGAGGCGTCCGATTCGTCCGAATCCAACTCGGACCAGGCACGGCCGGCTCTTGGATGGCTCGCATATTCACGACTACGGCGCGGGGGCAGCTCACTTCGGCGACCAGACGAACTCCGGGTAGGCGACCTGGCGTTGGGGAGAACGGATGCAATCTTGTCGAACTTGTCACGAATGACCTCGGGTATGGGAAAACCTCGCTTGCGATACTCATCGGGCCTGCCATCCGACCTGTGAGAATGTGTCGCGGAAGGCGGCTGGGATGACGGAGGAGACGCCATGCGGCGAATGGATGGCGGAGGCCTGACTCCAACGGAAGGAGCGGAAGGACGGCGGCGAGGTACTGGACGTGGGCTGTCCTCACGCTCCGAGTCAGAGGGGGAATCTGTTCCGGAGCGGTGACGGGGCGGACTGCGTCGACGACGATCCCCCGGTGGCCGTGTGGGCGGCGGTTGAGGCGGCGGCTGAAAGGCAGGTTGCGAGTTGTCCGGCGGTGGAGATGGGTAGTCGGAAAAGCTGCGGCGGCGTTGATTATTGCGGCTGTGCTCGTCCGACGAGCTGCCGTGGGCGTGACGGTGCGGCCCTCGCTCGCGTTCAGGAGACGGCGGGACGCGAACGCGTTGGATAGGCACGCGACCTACCCCGTGACTGAAAGGAACTGGCCGGGCGGTGTGGGCGGCGTACTCGGGTGGTCCGGGGCGGGTCCTGGGAGCGGATTCCGGATAGGGGTTTCGCACATGCACGTAGGCCACCTTGACTTTGGGTTCCTCTCGATCTGTAGCTGGCGGGGGGGTGTCGGCCGGGACGGATGGCTTGGAGGAGGCCGTGTCGGGCTTTGTGGCCTCCTGACGTAACTTCTCGGCGCACTGTTTGTGCCATCTGTCCACCTCGTTATCGGGCTTGAGGGGGAAGGCTTCTTTGGGAAGGTCGGGAGGGAAGGGTTCGCCGGTATCAGGGTGCTTGAGCTTCCAGTGCTTCATGGCGTACTGTATGAAGGGCACATGTTCCTCTGGGCCAAGGAGAATTTCAATCGACTCCCAGCGCACAAAACCGCGTAGGGTCAGGGCGGGAACGGAGGGTGGGTCGAAATCGTTGCCCGGGATCGGTTGGAGTGAATGTTGACAGCCGGTGACTTGCCATATGTAGGAGATGGAAGCATGTGGCATAACATGGAACAGGCCTGCGAGAGAACTTAAGTCAGTTTCAACCAAGATCTGATTCCTGCAGCCGCGACGGGCGCGGTGACGCGAAAGCGCAAAGACACGGTGGTCTTACTGTCATAGTCGCCCCCAACAGCCCTGTAAAAGGCAGCGAGTTTAGCGGGTGTCAGACAATTCGTTCTTTTATCGCCGATATTTGCAATCTGAAGCGACGTTGAGGGTAATAGTTAGTTTTTGAACGTCGACTTCCACTGGTTTTCACGCGAGTTCGTGGTTAGGCAGGATTAGGTTGGGCTGGGTTAGTTGGGCGTAAGGTATCAGGGAGGCAAGGTGCAATCGATGTTGAGAGGGACCGCCAGGGACAGGGACACATACGATATACTTGGCGATTGCACGCAACAAGGCTTCGAGGGTCTTTGTTGGTGTTTTGTCCTTTTCGAAAAGGTAACCATAATAACCACCAGCTGATTTCGGCGAAGGGCTGGTCGTGTTACTAGACCCGGCGCCGGGACTTGCGCCGGGATTCGTACTACCGGCGGCGTTGCTGGCGCTGGCGCTGGCGCTGGTTGAGGAGGCGGGGTTCGGCTTTTTGCCGTTTTGGGTGGTGTCCGCGCCAATGGACTCTTTTGAGTCGGCTTGGGCCGTATGTGTCGCCATTCAATGCGATGTCGTGTCGCATCCAAAAGCAAGGCGTTGTGGCGTGGCGAGGAGCGGGCGCTGATAAGGGGAGAATAGATCGCGTCAGGTAGGAGAGAGAGATAGTTTGCGACAAGGGCGACAAGGGCGACGGACGACGGGCGATGCGATGCGATGCGACGCGACGGTGCGAACTGTCGGGTTGCGAGAAAGCGAAGAAGATGAGTTCGTCTACGGCGTGGTTAACCAAGCATCGGCAGGTGGTTTCGCAAGAAGCGATGATATAGATGCAGAATAGAGAGAAAAGAAATGAACGATTCATGGGCCGAAGAGAACAGATATTACAAAGTCCATTTCAGCGGGAAAAATCATTAATCAGGAGGAATGGGAAAAAATGAAGAGACGAAGACGAAGAAGAAAAAGAAGAAGAAAGAGAAAAATGCTGGGTTGACCAGTGGCGACGGAGCCAACGGAGCAACTGCCAATGTGCTCGGCCAAGCGGTTGAGAGGTCGATAAGTGTGGTCTCGTGGCTGATGGCCAGAGATGGGTGGGCAGATGAACAGGGGAGACGGGGGAAAAGAAAAGAGGGAGGGAAGATAGCCTACAGTGGAGTGGATTAATTACATATTCCCTGTTGATGTTGTTGGCGGTTAGGACATGGTTGACTGGAGCTATGTGATGTGGCCTGAGCTGGGCAGCAGGCAGGATAGGCAGAATAGATGGATCGGTTGGATGACCAGGTAGGGTAGACAGACAGACAGGCAGTGTTGCAGATGGTAAGGTAAGGGTTTGCGTGTTAGCGACCCTGCGAGACCACAGCCAGCCAAAGGCGCAGCTGCGGCAGTGAGTCAACTTTGAAGCGCGGATGCACCAAATGCGTGGCGGGACAGTAAGGATTATGAGAGTGCCAGAAGATAGAAGAGACCACAAGATGACGGTAGAAATGATGAAATGAAGTGAAGAGACTAAGCTCTCCAGGTTGCGGAGGGCTTTGAATGGTGAGTAGAAGGACCACGACGACGACGACGACGACGACGACGACGACGACGACTGGTGGCGGCGGCGCAGCGTACCTAAAAAGGCCTAATAAGGGGGAGGCGCAAATAATAGCGGTCAGGAGAAAAAAGAAAGGCGTGTTCGTTCTTTTTATCAGATCATATTCGAAGCTGTCGTGGGGGCGGCAGAAGGTGGATCCGAATCGAGCAGTGAAGGTCGTTGCATCCGTAACTTGTCACCTGTGGGCTATTTCAGTTCAGGTTCCGCGGTGACCCTGACCATGGCGGAGATAGTTGCCTGTCACTCCGCTGTACAATAAATATGGTAGGGTCGTAGTGGAGGGGCCGTCGTAGAGACACTGCACTGTAGACGCAGATGGTGACGGAGACGGAAACGGACACGGAAGGAGACAGACGGGCAGAGGAGGTGATAGGCCTTCCGTGAGAGAAGCAATTGAAAGTTAATGGTGGGTGAGCGTGTCTGTGTCAATATGTACGTGCGTAGACGTACGCATCTGATCTTTTCTTAACGCGAGGTCGCACCGCATACGATGAGGAGCGGATGGGAGACAAGAGGAAGAGAAGATGATGACGTTGGGGGAGATGGAAGAGTACCCAATTATCCTGGGGTACCTCGTGGAGCAGCGGCCGTTGACTGCTGTGGGGTGGGGTCGAATCACAAAGTCGAAGGAGCAACCCTGCCTACGGTACAGTACCTACCCAAAGTCAATTGAAGCGCCCAATCACTCCGTAGGCCTCCGTGGGCCTCAGTGGCCTCTGTCGACACGAGCCCGTAACATAATAAAGTACCTTACCTTAGGTAAAAGTATCCGTAAAAGTCCGGTTGAAACGCACCGAACCTATCAAGTGGGAAGTCTCAACTCAACTGGCAATCTCAGAGCCTTATGGTGAATAAGGTACGCCCGAAATCTTCCGTGACCGACATCCATGTCAGGCCCAGATGCATACCTGATACATTAAGAGACTGGAGTCTGTTTTACATGGCGGGTACTTGGACATGCCATCCGGTGCTTTCTGCATCGGCACATCAGATTTAAAAGAAAAAAAAAAACCCTTGGATGATGCTGATGCTGATGCATATGTATTAGCTGTTAGAGGAGGTGCTTCTGTGCGAAGGAATGGCTGGAAGCTAGAAATGGAAATTATAGACAGTAAATAGCATCAAGAATTCTGGATAAACAAAGGTAGATTGGAGCCGATATCTCTCCCAGCAGGCACCTGAGCAACGAGTTCCTAAGTTGACATTTGTGAAGGGCTGAGGGCATTCGATAAGCTCTATGGAATAGAATAGCCTCTCCGCACGTGGAGGAGCGGTGGCGATGAGGATGGGACCAGTCCCGGGACATCCGCATGATAGGACCACCCAACGGATAATATATGGAATTCGAGCAGTCCTGGCAATGGCGCGTGCGCCGTAGCTGTAGAGACGGGAATTGGGAAATTTCACCTCGGCGGCCCTCCCGGTCTAGGCGGAGGCCACTCGCCGGAGCCACCACTGACCACTGACCACTGACCACTGAACAAACAAGCCCCTGCCAGTCGGGCGGATTCACAGGATGTTTTTACGATTTCTCGCACGACAAGCCATACGGACAACAAAAACAATCAGTCGACACCAGAGACGGCATGCCCCGTGATGTGGGCAAGGTGGAAAGAGTTTGTTGAGGCTGCCCAAATGAATGTTGTGTCATAAATGCCATAGTCCCTACTGGAGCTCGGACGAATGAATCAATCCGTCGTCCCAACCATGAGGTATGTCCTCGCGCCCTCCCGCAGCTTTGCGACTCATCAGATGCTGTCGCTGCTGCACATCCCGCATGTCCGTTCGCCACGTGTGAACCTAATTGTGACAGCGAAGATAGCATCCGCTACCGCGGGGCCGGGTGGGTGTGTTAATTCTTGATTGATTCGTCGTCGCTGCTCCCCGTCTCTCTTAAGGGAGCAAAATGCACGTGGTAAGTAGTTCCATGAGACCTTGGTAATAACACGCCGCAGAACCAGTCCATTTCCCTTCGCCCAAGAAACCCCGCAAATAACCAGCCTTTTTTTGTTTACGCAAAAGTCGTGGGACGCTTGGCGCTCCAGAGCTTCTGCTTGTCGACCTTGCCGACACGGTGGGGGAGAGGGAAGCTGAGGTTCTTGGTGAGGAGCTGCTTTATGTAGGGGCGCTTGACGTCTTCGGTCTTCTCGAGCTCGACGACGCGGAGAATCTGCATCATCATGTGTTAGCACGGCTCCGCAGTAGCATTTTCCGGTTCGCTGTGAGCCGGGGGAGGTAGCGTACGTGGATCGACCTGAACCGGGCACGGTGGCGGGCGGCCATATCTTGGTAGAGAGAGTCGACGGCGGCGGAACGGCTCAGCTAGAACAAACAGCGTGTCAGAGACTGAACTTGTGCTTCGACGAGGGCAAAGCAGCCAGGAGAGCGTGTCTTCCAAGGTGAACCTACCTCCCTGTACTCCTTGTACATGTTGTGGGTGCCGGAGCGAGAGTCGTAGCGCACCCAGATGCCGAAGTTCTTGACCTTCAGGGGGTGCTTCTCGTAGATCTGCCGACAGAATCAGCTTCTTGTTGTTGTCTGGAGTCCATTCTCCCTCGGGAAGACTTACCGCCTTGGCGCTGACGATCTCACCGGTGGCCTTCTTGACCTTCCGCAGGCCACGCATGAAGTACCAGTACCGCGACTTGGCGACGATGACATTAGGGGCGAAGATTGTCATGCGGTACAGGGTAGGAGTCGGGTTGGTCTCGGTGGGCAGGTGGCGCCCGATGATCTCGAATTCCTGGAGGCGACCTGCGAACATATTCCGTCAGTCCAACTGCCTCTCCGATATTGCTCCATCGCGAAAACCAGGGAAGCCAAGCCGTATGTAGAAAGTCGGTGTTGACAAGACGTGATCCTGGCGACGAGCGAAGAAATTTCGTAGGTGCGATCTGATGCGGTAGGAATGTGAACATTCAGCGGTTGAAATTGGATTTCGGCCTGCTCTGTCCAATTCCCGACTTCGACGGTGCTGACTATCGAACCAAGCCACCGAAGTCGAAACCCCTCCTCTTATCGCTAAGCAAGGCATCGATCCGGTTCCCGTGTAGATTTCGAAACCATTGAGAGTCCGGGAAGGTCAACATCACGAGTCGGTTGGTGAATCAAGTGCACCGGGCACGTCGTCGTCGATTTGTTGGTTCGCATCGTACACAATCGGGAGTCCAAAGACGACACTGGTGATCACGAGAAAATAAAATCTGCTTACCCATCTTTGAAAACCACGTTAGTATGAAGTTAGAGAAGTAGATACGGCAATGTAAACTCACTTTGTCGGTGCTGCTCGTTGGCCGTCGATTGTCGTGATGGTTGCAGGGTCGGATGCTAGCCGCGAAACGAGGTGAGGAAAAAGTGGTCGAAATTTTGGGAGGGCTACGACCTAATTCCAAGCGACGTGAGCCACAACACCTAGAATTCTTCTGTGCGTGGGTGACACAAGATGTGGATTGTGGCTTATCTTGCACGTGATGCGTGGCTTGATTTTGTGTGGCTGTCTTGGCGATAATGGACTTCTGACACTGTATGGACACTGTCAATGAAGGAGAGAGAGCTCTTGGTCCAATAATAGGTAACCTTCGACTTCAACCACATCCACGTTGTGAGATCCGGCCTAAGATATCCTTGAGACTTATATCTCGACTCGAACTTCGGACAGAAGCGTCATCTTTCATGATAATCAACTCCGCTACGACCACCCAAGGACCACCCAACACCCTATTTCACGGCCTCGCAGTTGACGTCTTTCTCGGAATTTTGGCCCTCCAAGACCTCAGTCACGCCCCTCATATTCTTAGTCGGCGCCCTGGCCGGCTTCAACGCCAGGCATGGAATCTCTTTTCAATGACTTCGCGACAGCATATATGGGCATGAAAGGATATGATCTTGCCCAGACTCTATCCCCCATCCCGCCAGCAGATAAGCCGGACAGGCTAAAAGCTGTCTGGCTAAGCACGAACCACTACGGAGTCAAGGACGATGTGACACACGGCTTAGTCCAGGCTTTAACAAGTCGGTCAGGATACCCACGTGAGGAGGTGAGGGAGGAGGTGAACGGCTGGACTGAGGTCTTTTCCGCATATTGGAAGGCAATCGGCGAGTTGCTGGCTGTGGATGGCGACAGCATCGTCAACGGCCGGGTATGTGGGAACGTGACCCGTGTCCAGGGGTCGTCCCTTATGCTGATGACTTTCATAGAGAACATCTTGGACGAAAGTCTATGAAGCTTGGAAGGAGATGACGATGGCTCTCCACCGGGGCTACACCCATCATAATTTCGAGGCATGGACGATCCCGTGTCTTTACACGGCAGGCAAGTACCTGAGGGCGTTCGCCATCAAATCCGACGAGGAGAGGGGCCAAATCGATGCTGGTGGTGACGGCCTGGAGATCCGTGACGACTTTGATCCCGAGATGGAGAAGCACCAGCAGCTTCGGGACTGCGAGCAACAATTAAAGCGGATTTTCACGTTATGCTTGACCGACAGGTATGAAACTTCCAGCCATCCATTCTATCTCAGCTGGCTTTTTTCAGAAATGAAAAACAGTGTCACTGATGCTGATGCCACCGCAGAGCGGAAATTACGGAATCCAGAAAATGGGGCATCTACGCCATCGTCAACCTCCTATTCAAGACTTACTTCAAGCTCAATTCGGCCAACCTGGCACGGACGATCCTGAAGGCTCTGTCTACGAACAAGGGAAACATGCCGCCTCTTGAGGCGTTTCCCGCAGCCCAGCGAGTCACCTTCAAGTATTATGAGGGCGTGCTCTCCTTCCTCGAAGAGAACTACGTCGAGGTGAGAATCCAGAATCCATGAATGAGATCCCGAGCGACACGGTTCTGAGCCCTTCCATCATAGGCGGAGAAACACCTAGACGAAGCATGGAGAGGATGCAAAAAGGACGCCATGCCGAACAAAGAGTAAGATGACGAAAACCGAAGTATGCACCGGTTCCCTATCGGGTCACAATGCTGACAAGGGACACGTTCTAGGAGGATCCTGGCATACCTCATCCCCTGCCGCCTTCTGACAACCCACACCCTACCCAGCAAAGCCTTACTGGAGCCTTTCCCTCGCCTCCAGAAATCGTTCCTCCCTCTAGCCCAGTGCATCCGGCGTGGCGACCTCCACGGCTTCGACCTCGCCTTACAACAGGGTGAAGAGGAGTTCGTCAAGCGGAGGATCTACCTCACCCTCGAACGCGGCCGCGACATTGCGCTTCGGAACCTTCTGCGGAAAGTTTTCTTGGCCAAGGGATTCGAGGAGCCGAAAAATCCCGGCGATGCTCCGCTACGAAAGACCCGCATTCGCGTCGCCGAGTTCGGGGCTGCAATTAGCTTCGCCAACCGGGAAACCACGGATTCGGACGAGGTTGAGTGTTTGCTGGCCAACATGATTTACAAGGTACGTCTGCCGTCGTCATTGTCTTGTTGGTTCATTCTTTCCGAGAGACCAAGGTGGTGTGGGTATGCCGCTGTCTTCCCGTCGCTTCGAGTCATCGATGGTCTTTGAGTCGAATTATCCTGGTATATTGGTTTCATCCGAGATACGCTCTCGGCTTGGGTGACCCTTTTATAGCCTCGTCAGCTACTCTTCTGCCTTGTAGGCAGCCATTGGATGCCCCGGGGGGTCTGTCTAGGTCACACCAGGGTGCCATGTTACAACCAACCATCCCATACAGGGGTCGAAATGGCAGACTCGCCACATCTTACGCATGACTTGAACCACTGGCTAACGGGCATTTATACCTAGAACCTCATGAAAGGCTACATCTCTCGCGAACACGGCATAGTCGTTCTCTCTAAAAACGGAGCCTTCCCCGGGACAGGGGTCTGATGAAGGAGTAGCACAAGCTTGATACGACTACATGGTTGACGACTGGCGTTGCTGGAACACGGAATATGGTGATAAAGCGGTGGTACTTTTTCAACGTGATACCTACCTTACATTGCGTCTTATTGGGCACTGTAATAAGAAGACCAGGATAGCACAGCATAGCCGGAAAACGTTTCACAAAATTATGTAGCACAGCACGACATGACATCCCACAAGGTCAGGTCAAAACGACTGCATAAATAACTTGAATGATTTTCATTGCCCCCCAAGTCAAATCCATCAGGCTCCTGCAAGGGATCTGCTGAATTAACGAAATTCACAAAGCATCGTCATCCTTGGCCTTTATCCACCCAGCTGGCCTATATGCCAAGGAAGTCATAGCAACGGAATGGGCAGGGATGTGAAAGTGGTTGCATGGGGCAAACGCGGGACTGACACGGTGACTCACGCGCAAACGACAGGGATCTGATCGCCTCTTTATCATGGACCAGTCTGGCTGTAGCATGGCAAGTCCTGAGAACAAAGGCTAAGAAGAACTGTGACGGAAACAAGAAACAAAGACAAAGGAAGACCGGAAAATGAGGCCATGCTGGAAACGGCTTGCTTAGGAAAATGGTGAAGCAAGCTAGGAGAAGAGGCCAACCTCCCCAGATAAGGGGATGGCTGATGAGGATGTCTTTCTACTGGAAGCATGTTATTCACGGTTATTCACGCCACTACCCATGTAAGATAGAGGCTTCTAGTCGGTTTCATACCCGGCCAAAAAGGATGAACGATCTAGAAGCCATACCACCAATTTAGCATAGGGTATTCAGATTTCAGGCCGATCTTATCCAATGTAGTGTTCCCATCATCGAGACTAAGGGATTTGGACTTGTATAACAAATGTTCATGTTAACTTAGTCTGCAGAGAGTGTTGAGAATGGAAATAGTACCACGATCCTCCTGCATTTTATGCCATTCTTAGTGTTTCGTCTGGATAAGCGTAGAAACCAACCCGCATTGATATCATCTCGCCCTCGAAACATCTCGCCCTCGAAACATCTCGCCCTCGAAACATCTGCTCATTCTCCTTTGGGGAGCAGAAATATTCCCGTGTAAAACAAAAAAGAGAAGTTCCAAAACCCTTGTCGCCGAGCCATCGCGACACGTCTGGGGTGGCTCCTCGACCATAATCGTACATGGGGATCTCAGAAGGAGAAAAGGTAAAGCAACGCAAAGAACTCCACGCAGAATCCATTAACCATACCGGACATTGAAAGAAAGAAAAAGAAATACTCTTTTAAAAAACGCCCCCTGATAAACTTCTTGCAAGTGTTGAGATTGCCACAGACCCCACAGATCTTAGCAGGAATGAAAATGTAGAAGAACAGTGTTGAGTGAGGGTGAGTGTGGCAGTGAAGCAGCAGTAGAAAACATTACGTAGGAGAGAATTGAAGAGACCGGGCTTAGATATGTGATATGTAGAACGTGAAATAGCCTAGAATGGCCGACCGCTGCGAGGAGTACGGGGAGTACTGCGGCTATTAGCACTTAGAAGGCCAGTGGGAAAAGAGAAGCACTCACGATGCCGAGATGTCGTCAACGTGGTTGCACAGCGCCACGAACAAGTCGAAGAAGAGCTGGGTACCACCATTGTACATCTCGAGCTGCATGGTGCCGCTTCGCTTGAAAGTGCTGCGGCTGCGGATGATGAGAGCGAGGTAGTGGGCGCGCAGCTTCGAGTCGGAGTCGGGAGTATTGGCGTACGCGTAGCGTGCAGAGGCCAGGATGGTGCTGCACTGAATCCCGGACTCTGTTATGCGGGCACACGTTAGCTTGATGGACGCTAGATGATCGAAAAGATCCGGGGATGGACAACATACGAAGACCCTGCTTTCGCAAGGCGACACGCTTCAGCTCCTCGAGACCATACTTTTCGGCGGTGCAGTAGATGACGGTGTCCTTGAGGATGTCGCCCTCGATGGCGTGATGGTAGACGGTCGACTCGACGGAATCCCTGGCTTCGTCGGAGGCAGACTCCAGCTCCCAGCTATTACGACGCTTGTTGTGGATGAGACGAGGATAGTAATCCCCCTTGTATAAGTACTCGAGGACCGACGAGAAGATTTCGGGTTCCTCGTCCGGAAGGGCAATTCGGCGGGGTGCATCCTCCATGAAGTTGCCACGGAGAGCGTTGTGAAAGAAGGGAGAGACGCAAAGGACGTCCTCGTGAGCGGCAAACAGGCGTTGTTCGGAACCGATAACGAGGGTGACAATAGCCGAGGTAAGAGTACTGCGAGGAGATCAAGTCAGAAAAACAGGACACACCTAGAAAGGGGCGGAATTTTGAAGTCCTGGTAAAGAAAGAAGTACTTACTTATTCAGCAGAGAACTATCATCCGTGGTTACTGTGGTGGCCGACGTGGCAGTCATCGGCCGGCGGCTGTGACGGGACTCATGGCGATGCTTAGAGACTCCGCTGGATTTGCTAAAAGAAGAACTCGATTTATTGGGTTTGTGACTTTTGGAAAAACTCCTCGTGCTGGTTGAAGGAGGAGGAGGGTCGTATCGTCGAGAAAACATCGTGACAGAGGTATCAAAAAAGACAAATGGGTATCAAGATTCGTAATGTACAGACTCCGGCCGCGATAATAGTTGGAAAATGATGAGAGAAGCGGCGATGAGAAAAAAAAAAAGAAAAAAGCCAGAACACCGGATTCCAAAAAAGGTTACAGAAATGATAAAGTCGAGATATTGGCGACGGTGGTGGTGACGGCGAGGGCGAAATCGACGTCTTTCCAAATGACTTACCTGGAGCGTCGATGTCGGTCGTGCAGCGTGCTGAGAAGGAAGGGAAGAGAGAAAGTCGAGAAAAGAAAAAGGGGAGGATAGTATATATATATGAAACTCCGGCAAAAACGCTAGAAACAGCAGACACCGCATCCATGCTTGCGTGATGCCCTGGCCTGCCTCAGCACCCAATTGAGGAGAAGACGCGGCCTTGGTGATAGGACGTTAGTGGACGCGTTTGCTCGGAGTGGATACTGGCGCGTCCCAGGAACGAATTCACGTGACTTTATGGTGGGTACGTTGCCTAATTCTGCTTAGGGCAGACAACGGGGACCGCCAGGAAGGATGAAGTAAAGACCTCTGGGATAATGATACATATACGGAGTAATTACCTCGTACGTCCCTAAGCAAGCTGTGGCACCCGCCCGTGATGGATCGCCTCCAGCTGCAAGGTACCGTATTGCAGGACAGCCAGTGCTGCGGTACTTTGGTTTTGGAGGTGAGGAATCCTGTTCTGCCTGGCTGGCCCCTGGTCTGCGCTTTCTCCGTCGGGGAGACGAGGGACAAGACGGAACAAGAAACCCCCAAATCAATCAATCATGGGATGGATGTAATTATTCGTACTCCCGTAGTCGGCGCTCAACTTGCCACACCAGCGAGAGGAAGAGTCAGAACAAAAACGAAGCAGTTCCGGTCAATCTCACGCACACGAAATTGGCGAAGATCGATTTGTCAATTGATCCATGTTCCCTTTACCAATTTTCCTTCCCACGGCCGACTTGACTGGCCGCCACGAAGTAGCGCAGGACAAGTGTGCATAAATAATGCTTCGTACATCTGAGGCCGAGTGCGCGCAGCGTTTCTTCCCCTCACCCCGGGCGGGGGCCCCCCCTCTCATCGATGTGACTGCCGGGGACCGATGGCCTGGATAAAGTGGTTTTGTTAGTTTAGTCTACCTTACACGTGTAGTGCATGTATCATCGGTCCACTACTCCGGTTGGCCAAATAGCTCAGTGGAGATGTGAATTCACGGGAACCATCAGATGGAAACAGGGCAAGGCGGGAGCCAAGACGACGCCCGCTCCTACTGTTCATTCGTTCACTGTTTACCATCCGAGGTTTGAGAGTCTGAGCCGATACTATTCAGTTTGTTACACCAGAGCCTCCGCGGTCAGAGCCACGGTGCAGTTGATGAAGATCAAGATTCAAGATTCCCTTTCTTGTTAACTCTCGACTAAGGTAGATAGTAGTGACTCACGGGTATTCCCAATGTACCTTACGTTAATCTAAGGTACCTAGGTATGTAGTACATCTGATGACTCTTTCCTTCCCTTTCCACACCTCAAAATCTGGCGGTCATAACAGTCATAAATGCCAGATCATGAGCCATTATTCGTACCATCCCGTGACGTTGCCACCACCACTTTCTCGATCGAGTCAGCGACAGCCTTACGACCTTCTCCCCTGAACATGACATCGTTGTGAAACGTCCCACGAATAATCTTCCGTTCCACCGTCAGGCCCAGCTCCCGGCCACGCTGTTCCAGTCGAGCACCGTGGTCCGCCGGCACCAGCTCGTCCTGTCCAGCCACGACCAAAGTAATATGCGGCGGTCCACCGTCATCACTCCTCAGCCGCGCGATCTGATCTAGATTGGCTAGAGAGTCGAGATGGTTCCGGAGGAACGGCCACAAGTAGCGGTACGGAGTCCACTTGGAGGGATACAGTGCCCCTAGCATGTCCTTGACGGACGTGAACGCCGTTTCGAGGACCAAGCCGTCGAGTCTGATTGTGCGAGGGAAGTCCTCCCACGCAGCAGCCAGATTGGTGGCTACTCCGGACCCGATACTCTGGCCCCAGAAGATCAGCACTGGCCGTGGGTTCGGCCCGTTATCGGCGGATTGTTGTTGCTCCTGTTCATCGTGTAACCGCGTGACGTACTCGAGACCAGCCTGAGCATCAAGGTTGATTCCCCTTTCGGAGGGACGGCCCCGAGAGGTCCAGTAGCCCCGATAGCTGAGACAAATCATAGTATAGCGCGCGCGCTGTTTCCCTCTCTGCAGGGTTCTCAGGACAGCAGAGAGGTCCTGTAAGCGAGGAGGTATGGAAGAGGCATTTCCTACAAGCATATGTAAGTAAAACCACTAGTTCCATTCCGCTAGAAGAAACTTCAACAAAACGCTGCCACCTCCCCCGAGGGGTCAGAAATGGAGGAGGAGGAGGGGAAGGAGGAGGAGAAGGAGGAAGAGGAAGAGGAAGAGGAAGAGGAAGGAGGTGGGCAGACCCTGAAAGTAGAGAATGTAGACGGGAATAATTCCAGATGCAGACGCCCCCGGCGACGTGGAGGTCTTGGGACCGGTGGATTCCACGCTGGCGACGCAGAGTGCCAGGTCGGTTCCGTCGGCAGCACGGGTTCTCCGCTCCTCCCACACGACACCCCCGCATTCCCGGGCATAGTCCTGGATGCGCTCGCGACGAGCGTTGGGCGGCAGGCCCGGCATGTAGATAATCTTGTTCTGGAAAACGATCATCATGGCGCACTTCCAAATCCAGAGTGCACCCAGTAGCCCGACGAACATAAGCGGGGGAAGCCAGAACATCTGAGAGTGCAGGTCACGCCTGGACATCAGGGGGAGGCCAGCCAACCGTGGCCTGCTGCCGGGGCCCCTGGCGCAGGGTCTCCGTGGGACGGCGACATTGGATAGAGACTTGAACGAGTACGGATTGCCGATGAGGATGTATGAAGAGGGAACAACTCGGGAAATAAGAAGTGGGCTTGCGTTTGTGCGGAAGATGGTGTGGAGAGTCTGAGGAAAGGATGCAGGTCGAGTCGTGATGCGCGACATGGACACCATTCTGCCGCCAGTCGACACCTGCTGCTCCGTGAACGCCACAACCGGCGCAAGACAAGTTAAATGGCGGTTTAATGGTTGGGCATGCGAGTGATGGTCGTGGCGGACGACTTGAATTACGGCCGTGGAAGCTCTGTTCGCCGTGCCTGGGAGCGAACCATGACGGACAGGGTCTAAGTGTCCATCCGCGACTGGACTCTGAGCGGATCGAGACGACTGTCGTATGCAAATGTCATGTCATGCAATGTAGCAGGCGCGATGGGCTCGAATGCTGCAATGGGAAGTGGTCAATTGAATTCCAGCCCAACGAGAGCCGACCTGATCAATTGAGATTTCTAGATGACGATGTGAAGGCGTGAAGCTTGAATCGGAGGGCTTTTTTCCCTTTCTTTTTTTCTTTTCTTTGTTTTCTTCTTAAATCTCCCGGTTACTGTACGTCCAGCGAGCCTATGAACCCCGGACCCTTTCCCATTGACACCTCAGGTACCTGGAGATCCTATGTAATACTTGTCTCTTGCCTACTGTAGGTGCTCCCGGTCCGTACCTACAAAGTAGATAAGTACAAAGTACAAACGGTAGCCTTTTGCATCATACCTTATCCTTACTGTGTCCGGGTACTCCGTACCAGTTCCTGAGTAACAAGGCAAAATCTCATCTTTCGCTCATGTGCCAAGCAGGCTGGCTGAAGGCCCCACGTCCCTTGTCAACCCATGCCACTCGCCGCTTACTTTACTTACCCGCTCCGTCCATCCTACACAGTCCTTACCTTGGTAGGTCTTCTCTCAGTTCTTTTGCATCTTTGGCGTAGCCAAACATAAAGCAGCCCCCTTCTTCGATATTTCGACAATCTTTCTCTCTTTGTCTCTTGCCCGCCCTCGAAAACGCACCAACCTCCACCATTGCTGTGTCGCCTTATCGTCTCCTGACTTTTCCTCCGCCCATCCACATAGCACCCCAGTCGGTGTCAATCCAACAGATTCATGGTCGTCACCATGCCCGGTCCCGTAGAAGACGAGCGACCTACCTCGCCGCATATCGAACTCCACGATAATCGCCCTGCGTCCTCTCGTTCTCGGGCGAATAGCGAAGGCCAACCCAGCCCCGGGTTACGAAATAGCAAGGGGTGGGACGGCAAGCTAAGAGTCGATCGCACCGCCGTGCTCGTGAATCCAGAGATCCTTTCCGACCCTGAATCCGACGACGAGAACGTCCATCCAGGAGAGCAGCTCCCGGCCGACGAAGGTAAGGCTTCCTCCATTCCGAGTAGCACCTCCACGGCTCTTGATTTTCCCCCTTGTTCCTCTTGCATGACGTGACGGCATATGTGCCAGAGCCAGAGCCAGAGCCTAATTTTTCTTTCTCCTTTTCCCCAGATCTCCTCGACGACGAAGACCCCGACACAGACGAGATCATCGTCTCCCACGCCCGTGTCGCCTCCATATCCGCCCTCCGGCTCGAGCGCTTCCGCCACGTCGCCCGCCTCTGCCTCCGCCAGAACAGCATCCAGCACATCGAAGGGCTCTCCGCCCTAGCCGACACCTTACAGGACCTGGACCTCTACGACAACCTCATCACGCGTGTCCGCGGCCTCGAAGACCTGACCCACCTCACCCAGCTCGACCTCTCCTTCAACAAGATCAAGCACATCAAGAATATAAGCCACCTGAAGGACCTCAAGGAGCTCTACTTCGTCGCCAACAAGATCTCTCGCATCGAAAACCTCGAGGGCCTCCCCAACCTCACCTCCCTCGAGCTCGGCTCCAACCGGATCCGCACGCTTGAGAACCTCGAACCGCTCCAGAACCTCGAGGAGCTCTGGGTCGCCAAGAACAAGATCACCTCCCTCGCCGGGCTCGCCGGCCTGCCCCGCCTCCGCCTGCTCAGCATCCAGTCCAACCGGATCCGCGACCTCGCCCCGCTCGCCGACGTCCCCGGGCTCGAGGAGCTCTACATCTCCCACAACGCCATCGAGCACCTCGCCGGGCTCGAGGCCAACACGAAGCTCCGCGTCCTCGACATCTCCAACAACGCCGTCGCCTCCGTCGCCGGCCTCGCGCCCCTCGACCGGCTCGAGGAGTTCTGGGCCAGCTACAACCAGATTGCCGACTTTGCTGAGGTCGAGCGTGTGCTGCGCGACAAGGCGAACCTCACCACCGTGTACTTCGAGGGGAACCCGCTGCAGCTTAAAGGGCCGGCGGTGTACCGGAATAAGATCCGCCTGGCGCTGCCGCAATTGTCACAAATTGATGCGAGTGAGTTTGACCCAACCCTCCC